TTCCCTACAGCAAAAAGTTCACCAGTTTTCTGGATGGAGTTCTTTTAAATTCTAATACTGTCAGACACCACAGTTATCTTCAGTGTTATGCAATTACGTCACCCAGTAGTAATCAATACTTTTAGCTATCAGACTAAGTGTGTCTGCTGGTATCATTTCATTATTGTTATTATTATCTCATTTGCATCATTACTAGTGTTAGTATTATTATTGGTATTGTGTTAGCTAGTTAGTCAAAAGATAACTACAGTACATATTAATCCAAGCTAATACATAATTACTGTTTGACTAAATACATTATATACAGCCTTACTGCAATAACTACATTTTAATTGTTTTGCTAAAGTTTTCTGGGTTACCTTGAACTAAGACATAATAAATATGTCTTCCTACAAAGTTTATGGCTGCCTGACATTAAAGACACTAAATAACATGTCACGTGGGTGCGTTAGAGAATCATGACTAGTTTTTGATGCTCAGACTTTCACTGTTTATTCTCAATATGAACTTTCTGAATCACTGTTTGTGTTTAATGATGATTTCTTATCCTGACTTTGTTTTGATATAGGTTTATGCCCATTTGAGTCTTAAGATTGAAGTCTGGGATGAAGATGTGTTCAGAGACGACCGTCTGGGGTCATGTGTGAGGAACCTGAGACAGGGGTCACACACTTTTATCTGTTCAGTCCAAAGAGGGGGAATAGAGATCAGATACTCACTCACCTGTGACCGCCATCTGACTGGAAACCAGTGCCAGGACTACAGACCAGTTCCATAGAAACTCAGTCTGAATGAAAGAAACAATGAAACATTATATTAGCATTTCCACTGTATGAGCATTAGCTTTCCCGATTTTTGATCAATATCTTTTCTAATAAATGACATGATAGGTGTTGGTGAAAGTTAAAAAGGTCTGATCTATGTCACTGTGATTTTAGATGATTTAGTAACTGTCTACTTCATCACTTTACTTTGCTAAAAACAGCTAATAAATACACAGAAATGATTTTAAGCATCATTCACGTTGTCCCTGAGCATCAATACTTATCTCTAGCACAGACTGTAGAGGATGTTAAGCAGGAGATGGCGCTATTGTACAAAGGTGTGTTAAAAACAAACAGAGTCATCATATGTAACATCAATGTTACATATTCAACAATAACTGACTTTATTATAGAAAACTAAATTAGATCACACACTCTAATTTATATGATGCTCATTATTATTAATTACGATGCTGCACAGTTTGCCTCAGATGTCTTGACTTTATTATTGACAGGTACAGTTCCAAACATTAAGAGCAGGTCTCTCTCTGTGAGCTCTCTGGACTCTGAATCTCTGATATAGAGAGGGACCACTGTACAGTATCTCTGTGTGTATCCTGTGACACTTGAACAGGGTCATTGATCTTATTAGGTTCTAATGTTTTGTAAATGCGATAAAGTCCTGCTAAGTCTACTGTTTCAAAGCTAAATCTGACCTAGCTTTAAGACTAAATTTTTAAGTTTCCAGCTGGTTGTTAAGTTTTCATTTGTCATTCGTCCTCTTTGAGGCTATTTTATGAATAAAAGGTAGAAAACAAAAGGTAAACTTAGTTCAGGTCAGGTTTGCAGGAAGTCTGACAAAAAATACAGTAAGTAATTTATTATGAATAAAGGAGTGTCAGTTTTTTTTTGTCATGACAGAACATTCTTATAATAATTTAGGTTCAGTTAATAGCTAAAATTCAGCTATGCTAAGCTAATGTTGCTAACCTCACCTTTCTCATCTTTGAATTTTACAGGAGCTCTGTATTCTTTGGGTGGCAGAACTAGGTTACATCACTAAAAATGTAAACTATGGTGTTATTTTTGACAAAAGTAAAAAAAATGTTTTTGTAAAAAATCATTGAAACTATATAAAGGCCCAGACAAACCTATAATTATTTTAAGATTAATTAGAGGGTAATTTAAGGATAGTTATAGCTATGTATTTGCTGCTACTGAGCTGTTATATAAATATCCCTGATTAAAACACACCCAGGCTCACTATGACTCATTTCCAATTAATCACAAGACCAATAGACAGACAAGAAGGAAGTAATCAAGGTTAAACACCTGATCTTACCAGAGCTCATCTTAGAACAAGAAAATCCAATTTACTTTCGTTCTTAAACGAGGTCATGCCCAAAAAAAGTAAAAGTAAAAAAACAAAAATAAACCATATTTCACCTAACCTTTCAAAATGTAGTGGCCTATAAGGTCTCATAAGTCATTAAGTATGACTTATGAGACCTTATGAGTTTCTGTAGCTGATGCTGTGAAGATCGATTATAGCTACCATTTTACGAGTGGCTGGAAGGTATGTTAACTCTTTATTACAAGTTTAGTAAAATATAGGGATGTCCGGTAAGATCGGCTGATGATATTATCTGACATCCCTAATAAAATATGTAAGTGATTCATTTATTGCTAATTATGCTTTGCCATGGAGTCTTCATGGTTAGAAGTGTGTCTATAAATAAATGTCACATGGTTTGTGTACCACATGGGGAGTGGGTGGTTACTATTAGATTACTATTATTACTTATAGCTACAATTTTACGAAATCTTGAAAATCATGTGAATTGAAAAAAAAATTCAAAATAAAAGCCAACATTCCTAATATAAAAGATCAATTCATGAATTTTGTGGTGTTCACCCTTTTGGCCTATGTAATTAAACAGACAAAACTAAAAATCAGGCAATTTAAAGGTTTTATAAAAGCACTTCTAAAAAAACATTTTATAGGGCAGTGGTGGCTTATTGGTTAAGGAAGCGGACTTGGGTCTTTAAGGTTCTAGTCCACCAGTTGCCCAGTTACCACTGAGGTGCTCTGAGCATGGCATCGTCATCACCCACTGCTCCTCAGCTGCTTAAAGCTGCCCACTGTTCACTTTGGTGATGGGTTAAAAGCAGAGGTCACATTTGGTCGTGGTGTGCAGTGGTGTCACAGTGACATGTAGTTTACTTTCACTTTTATATAATTTTTGGAAACCACCTCCTCTCAGAACAAGATTTTCCTGTTGTCCAGTCCAAAAGGCGACAAAGTGTTTTATCTGGCATGTAAAAAAAACTTCCAAGCTATAATTATGTTTCTTTTTGCATGACGTAGTACAATGTATAAAAGTGCAAACCGCTCATCCCTCAGCTTATGCAGAACTGAATGAAGGTGTCTGTTGGGGCCAGAGCAAAGGTAATTATTTTAAACAACATTTCCTATCATAATCCTGTATATTTATTTAATTTGTTATACTCAATTCAATTATATGACCTAAGAAGCTCTAAAGGCGTCTTCAGGTTCTGGAAAAGAAACTTCAAAAGCCTTAATATCTACATGCATTAAATGCATTATGATATGTCGCATAACCAGCAGAAAAACTCCTGCTTTGGTAAATCCTGTCTGCTGTTATTTTTTGTCAGGAGTCATTGACAACAAGGTACATGTTATAATCATGTAGAATTATCTGTTATTAACCACATGCACCCTGACATTCATTTCTTTGTCTTTGTTTTTGTCTGTATCTTTTCAGTGTCTTCTTGCCCGCAGCCATGCTGGGCCTTTCTAAACAAGCCTCGCTCTACCTGAGTCTTCTTCTATTTCTGTCCCTCCAATCCTCAGTCCTCACCCTTACTGGGACCGCGAGCCAGTGCCAGTCTGCTCCCTTTGTACCAGGTTACAACAGGCGACTCTTGTTTAACTGCTGTAGTTGAAAAAGTCCGTTTTAAAAATCGTTTAATATCCATTTTTGGTAGGACCTATTTACTGAAAGCTATCCTACTAATCAACGAACATTGAATACTAAAATGGGAGGGAAACCGCCAACGTCACAATGTCACATGACCACTCAAATACTTTTATTAAAACTTTTATAAACGTATTCATTACAAAATAAAATATAAAAAGATTCATATTATTAATTAATCAACCATTTAATCAACCATTTTGTTTTGAAATATTTAAAATAATAATACATTTAAAAATATATACAGTATATTTGTATGGGTCATATAATAGACTCAATGTCGTGACATATTCCAGCCACCCGCAAACTCCGCTTATGGTTTTTATTTGCTATAGAGACATACACACACATAAGAATTATAGTATATAAGGATTCCTGTGATATAAAATAAAATGTGGTTTTAATTATGAGTCCTTACCTTCGAGACAGACGATACAGTAGCGGCTAATGGCGGCATGTGCGGAGGAGGGAGGGAGAGAGGAAGGGCGGGAAGAGAGTTGGCCGGTACATAGACACTTGATTCCGTACCGTACCTTGCACATTCATAAACTTAGAATCAACTCAAATTAGCTTTCGTTTTTTATTTTTTTGTGCATTTTCCGATTTGTATTCTTTACTTTTCCTGACGTTTTTCTCCAGACTACACTCACTTTCACTTCATTTATCATAATGTCAGGCTTTGTTTATATTGTCATGCGGTTCTTCTTCTCACTACCATCCTTACCACTCACTTTCTTAGGACTCATCACTATTATGAATAATGCATAATGCACAAGATAGAGAGAAAATCACGTAGATAACGTGAACACAATACGGAAGACTTGCGGGAGATGCGTATGGAAGTCGACAAACATGTGAAGTGAACGAATGAGGCGGCGTGGGCTGCTCCTAGTGCTCAGCCACCTAGCGTCAACATCTGTAAGCTTGCTGGTATCTCAAATCTTTACTAATTTGCTCGAAGGTGTTGGTCTGTCGTATCTCAAGGTATTACTGTACTGCATACAATGTACACTGATTATTAAACTACATAATAATTGAATGAGCTGCAATGCTGCCATCTAGTGGCTTTCACTTTAATATTCAGCCGTTTATCCCCAAAAGTATTTTTACGGTAGACATCTTTTAGAAAACCCCTGGTATTTCGTTATCGAGTTTTCATTATTGGAGGAAAAACCTAACCAAACGATTCTTACAGATATTACATAATTATGCTAACCATATCAGCAAGATTTCTATTATTAAGCCATATATTCAGGACTGCAGTGTTAACTTACGCCACAGGTCAGGTGACACTATCAGAAAAACTAGTCATATTTGCCAGTTAAAATTAAATGAAACAAACAAATGTCTGGTTGTTGTTGAGTGGGTGTGGCAGCTCTCTGGTTTTCAGCAGCTAAAGCATGTGACTTATATCCTTTGTGTTGCAGTAGAATCATTATTGCAATCTGCATTTTTTTTTTGTATTTAGTGATGAGGACTAAAAGTTGATGTTAAATCTCTGTAGGTTTGGCTTGGAGGACGATACAGAAGGCTGTCAGCTATCCGTACATGTTTGTCCAAATTGAATGGCTTGTCAACTTATCAGGTAAACAGGTCACAAATGTTGTATTTACATTTTACCTACTGACTTTTAGCTAATATCAACCACTGTCCACTTCTCACCTTTGCAAAGGCACATGACTGCTTGTCTCTGGGAATCAAATTAAGCCTGAAGATAATTCAAGGTTCATCAGAAACACATACCTGCTCCAAGATCTTGGAGAACATGGACACTGCTGCATCATACAGCGCTGGGCTCCACCAGCACGTCACAGAGGTAACAGGAGGAAATGGTTGGCTCGGCGAGTTTTCACTCTCTGGTATTGACGCCTCTGGCTATGAAACATGGCTGCGCAGCCTCAAAGATCACCCTGATGTTATTCACTATTCTCTGAGACCACTGTACGAGCTGGCACTATCGTGGTCAACTATGATTGGACTGTATTTGGCCACACATGATTACCTCAAAGAACATGGCGTCAGTTCTGGGACCAGTAATCCAAGATGTAGCGGCCGTCCTAACCTTGATTACAACTGCTGTCCCATCGAGACCCGCAGAGGAAATCTAAGGGTGACCATCGTCCGTGCTTGGGGTCTGAAAGG